TCAGTCCAGTCAAAACCATAACTGTTTTGACAACATCTTCTGAAAATGGGGGCTTTGGAGATGAGAAGCAAGAAGTGTGTAGATAGGAAATGGCTTATAACAGAACTTTTCAAAGCAGGAAAGGGGGTTAACTCCTTCCAGTGCTAAATTCACCATTTCACAATGAACCAGAGAAGTGCTCTCTGGAAACCTTTAACAAGGCTTGTTTCACACTTGAGGAGCTTACCACATAACTGTGCTGGTTAAGGTGGTTGATTTCTTTTTTTATGTTATTTTGCTAACACAGCTAATATGGTAAAAGCCCTTGTATAGACACAGCTCTGTCGGTGTAAAAACACTGGAATCAGCACAGCTTATGCCAAGTCAGGGAACCACCACCGGCTGTTTCACTGAAAGGCTTTTGTACTGGGATGACTATGTCTGCATTGGAAGGAGGGTTTCCAGCAGCAATGCCAGTGCTGCTAGTCTGGCTAACCTTCTGGGGGCAGCTCCAGCCTGTGTGATAGAAGGGGTTTTCACATGGGCAATAACTGCACAAGCTTAGCCTGCTTGCTTTGGATGTTGACCACCTCAGAATGAATCCTCTTGTTAGTAACTTCCAGCACAGATGATGCAATGGGCTGAATTCACTGACTAGAAAGAAGCTTTGCTGAGGGGAGTTGTACCCTCCCTCAAACTATATAAGGAACATGTATTCAAGTACGTCTTTGTCCTCCCGGTTTATCCTGTTACCTCCCCTTTAAAATGTGCACAGTGTAATTGAGTAAGTATAACCAGTGAACTGGCAGCTTGAAGCATTTGCTAATTCTTTGCAATTTCAGTGTGAATCTTGGAATATTTATAGTGGCTTAAAAGTCCCCGTGCAGGTGACTGCTACAAAATACAAGAGTTAATTTTTTTTCTTAGTGATCTTTTCAAGTCTAGTCCAAGAAACCCCAAACCATTAAAAATATGAACCGTGTTGTTTTGGTCTTTCAAAATCCAGGCAGACAAAAATGATGCAACTTAAGGGGGTGGGGTATTGATTGCATGATTTTAAAACCAGTCTTATGATTATTAGAGGCCTGAGTCATGAATGCTGAACGCTTGGATTTGGCATTGCTGCTCCTCACAGTTTGATTTGTCACAAACTGTGTTTATGCTAAGGATGTGCAAATGTGGGAAAAGGGTAGGGGTCTTTTCTCCCCTTAAAGCTCAATATAATACACTGGAAGGATTTGGCTCCTCCTGTGATGGACAGTGAAAAGGCATCTTGGGCCATTTTTGAACTGCACTTCTGAAATCTTGCGAGCAGCTGCAGAAGAGTCCTGCTGCTTTGAAAAGTTTGGACAACATCTGCACATTTCTCTAGCTATTGTGAAATAAAATGCTTGGCAAGGATAACCATCTTAAAGATGTACAGTCTGGTTATGGTGCAAACTGAAAGCCAGTTAGAAAGTCTTCCACTATAGAAAAATGGCTGGATTCTCAGCATTATTCACACAAGCAGAACTTTTCCAGTTAAGGCCACATCCTTCCATGCAGCATGGATAGTTAATGGGGACGTGTTGTCTCTATAGATCTTTTCTCTTGCAAGTATGAAGACCTATAGGTGATTGATTTAAAATCCATTTTTCTTCTGCTTGCTTTTCATACTTTGTTTCTTATGAAAATATTGTTATTATTATTAATAATAAATTCCTGGCCACTGTTAAATAAAAAAATGATGATGAATCATATGAATTTCTCATCAAAGTTAGTGTTCTTATGAGAACTCTAAGTAGAGCTTTTCTGTCCAGCAGAAGCTGGTATGGCCTTTTGCTCCCCAGTCATTTTGCAGTGCTGCTTACTCACCAGTTCCAAGAGGCTTCTGAGCTCTAATTTGGATGCAGTATGTTTTTGGAGGAATTTTAAAAGCAGACTGGACAAATGTACACGAAGACAATCCTGCACTGGCTGTGAGAGGTACTAGATGACCTAATAGGTCATTCCTACTTCTCTGATTTGAAAAACAAGCAGCACATCTGTAGTCGCGCCAATAGGAGAGTCAGAGACAGGGGGAAAGAAGAGCAAATACTTGAAGACCACAGAACTCCCTTCCCAGTACATTAGCTCGGAGTTTGAATTTTCAACCAGCTGCTGCTTTCACACTTTTTTTGCATTCTGTAATGTATTTTCTTCTGTGTTTACCAAGAAGAAACCAGTGGAAGGTAAAAGCCAACCTAAAATGTATAAACAATGCAGTTGTGTCTGAGTCATCGCTCCAAGTCCCCATGCTTCAATTTGGGAAGCGCAGAAATCTGGGCGTACATCCAGCTGTGAATTTCACAGATGGATCCTCTCTCTGAAAGGGGTCTGCACAAAAATCCCTAAATGCAAGTACTCCCAGCTTTGCAAACATTCACGTTCTCCAGTTTAGGTGCACATCTACTAGAAATGCTACAGTCCGTTTGGCAATTAAAACTGTGATCTCTCTGTACTGGCATGACTAATGGTCTGATAGCAGTGACTTTGAAAACTTGGTCTTGAGTTGGATTTAACCAGTGTTAGGTATAGAAGAGTTAAATCTTCAACTACAGGTAACTAGAGAAAAACCACTGAGGTTCAAAGGGCTTCAACAGTGATGTCTGTGTGACTCAGCAGGGCAACACTATTTCACTCTGAGAAACTGGTCTGATACTCTCCATCTTCCCACAGGTTATCCTGATCCACACAGTTCACGTTTTAATTGGGCCGTGTCCTTTTGTGGGTTTTTAATTTGGAAACTTTGCCCTCAGCTGAACAAACACAGTTTCTTTAGAGTGAAACCGTAGTTGAACTAGATGTAGTGAGAACAGTGCTATTGACTTCTGCCTGTGGACGTTGGAGTGATAGGTTTGCATTGAAGGGAGAATGTTTCCGCGTGGATAATTGTGAGGTGTGGAAGTAAAGGTCATAGTGGACTGTCCCTTGCTTCCACCCAGCTGTGCATCTGGGCACGTTTTGAATGGTGGGTGGTGGGAGGGTGCTGACAGTGTGGTGGTTGTGTGCCAGACCTGCCTCTGCACCCAAGCAATGCACACTGCATGACCAGGAAACCTTGAGGCCCTGCAGAAGGAGCCAGATGATGTCACAGCAAAGTGACAGCACAGTTTAATCCTTTTTCAATGCTTACGTGTTGACTTGCTCTGCCTTTTTGGAAGGACCCTGAACCTTCCCCTTTAATGCAGAAACAATAATTTGGGCTGGGGCGAAAGCAGCAGTAAATTAGAGGAGTGTGAGTTTACAATCATTCCCTCTTGATCATCTATGCCACAGGAGCCCAGTCAAAGATTCCCAAATTATGGTGTGGTTTGGTTTGGTTTCTTAATGATGTATGACTTCATCATCTGTGAATGAATTGAGTCAAATGTAGGACAAATAGTGAGACACATGAATGACTCTTATGACATTTGCAGTGTCTCAATGGGTGCTGGTTTATTTAGGTGGTTTCTAAGTTTCTTTGGAAAGAGTGAGAATGACTAAATGAAGGGGGAGCCACTTCAGAAGTATGGGAGTCAATGGTGAAAGTATTGTGACAGTTAAACCTCCCTGGGCTAAATATCTGTCATTATGAGCAACACAGCATTGGTTATTTTGTAAGAGCTTGATTCCAGGAGACTGTAGCCACAAGGCCAGGGGAAGCAGGATGATGTATCAGACGTTGCAATCCCTTTATGATCATATACCTCCTGGTGCTCATGCTGGGTCTTCATCAGCCACTTTGGGGTTTCTGATTCTTACCAGGAGACAGCAGGGCTGTTCTCTGAAAGTGTGGAGGTCCTGACTTTGAAAGGCACCTGCCCTCAGACGCTCTGTGTGGTTCCGGTACACCCAGCTTGCCCCCAGGCAGTGCCTTTGGCTGCTGCTTTTCAGGGGAAGGGGTACTGCAGGGGTCACTCAGGGCAGTGCTGTACCTGTGCTTAAACCTCGTGTTTCATGGGTCTGTCAAAGCCATGTAAAAATAAAGCCCAGCATTTTTGTAGATAAATGGTCACCAGCCTAGGAACCTGTCCTTAGGGCTTGGGGAAGTCCCTCAATTCAAGTCACTGGAAAGGAAGTAATTATAATTTTGTACAAATTAATGTTTGCAAAGGCTGGCAGTAGTCTACAAACACTGGCCACTCTAGGCCTTGGGTAGGTCCGGTGAGCAGACTGACTTGGTTTTAACCAGAACTGAGGCAAATCAAAGGAGGACTTTTAGCAGCTGCATTTTTTAATTACATTGTGTTTTGTGGGTCTTTTTCCCTTGAAATTACATTAAGATTTTTCTTGTCTGGTTTCTCCTCCATGCATTTTCACTTGCTTTAAAAGCGGTGCTGTCTTCTTCCCTGGAAAGCACCCTAAGATCCTGATTTCCAGCAGGCAAACACTAGGGTGAGATTTTCAGGTAGGCAGGCTGAGAACTCTTCTCCTGCGATCATCTTGCAGCTTCATGTCTTCAAATGGCTTTTACTATGTTTTCAGATATGTTTCCTTTTTAAAAAAGTGCCATCGATTTTAATGCAAATTTGAGCTCAGTATAAATGTTATAGTCTATTATTAAAGTAAAAAGCACACTAAACTGTTATGTCTATTTTAGAAATGAATATCCATGTGTTTTATACTTGGTTACATTTCATAGTTCTTCCCATCTTCAAAGCTAGTACAAGTTTTAGATCAAGATTAAGAATTGTCAGGAGTTCATGCTGTTCTGGTAATGGTCTTAGTTGAGATGTGGCATTAAATCTCCTCCAGCATTTCCTGTCATGCCAAAAAGCATCTCTGCCTTTCAAAACCCGATGCTGAGCGTGAGTGTCTCTGCAGGAAGGCTGGATGAAACCTCTCCCGCATGTGACATTCCAGCGCAGCTATCGGGCCATGAAAATAATCTAGCCCTTAATCACAGCTAGACTGTAATATTTACTAGCATTTCAACAGATTGTGGTCACTGTAACAAGACATTAATTTCCTTCAGTGTATGCAACAAGAGATGCACACAGTTGATGGCTGGTTTATTACAGGAAGCTTGCGTTGCCGCACACAGGCACACTCTGCTGAGGCCAGCTCAGTTTGGGAGGATCAGAGGCTGAGAACGAGAGTGATTAGCCGAGGGCAGCCTCTCCCCTAGCACTGTAGCAGAGGTAACTCGCATTGTGCCACACAGACCAAAACCTCTCGAGGATTTTTCTCTTCACGCTGCATTCAGCCAACAGGCAGATGCACTGGTTATCTGGGGAGTCCCTGTCTGTGGCACCTGGACAAAAATGCTTTGGCAGACGTATAAGCAAGGAAATTAGTTTTCTTGTCTTTAGAAAACAGTGCGCGCCATCACGCCTGGATAGATCGAATTTGTTATGATAGCAAAACAAGTTCTATGGAAACCATTGTGAACCCTGGAGCGAGGCTGCCCAGGAGAGTTGGGGAAAGCCGCTTTTGTTTGTTGTGCTTGGCATCATTTTGCTCTGGATGAAGATGCTTTAATTTTGTGGGGAGACCCAAGAGAGCATTCCTCTTTTTCCATACCAGAACGCCTTCCAAGCTGGCATAAACGTCCCCTCTTTCCAGCTGCTCCTTTCCAAACACACTGTGCCTCCTAAAGATAGTCTTTACAGTGGCTGGGGCTGGTGGAAAACATGAAGCCTGCATGGATTAGTACAGGAATTCATTTGGGCTGACGAATTGGGTTTCCCTCTATAAACAGCAGTAGTGTTTTCATCTTCTGGACAGCACAGCAAACTTCACGTCCTCTTGCTCCTCACCCTGTCTCTCGCACTGCATCCAGGCCAGCCGTGGTAAAAGACATACTAAGGCTTGCTTTTGGGGGATGAAAGAACAGCACACATTTCAATGAGGTGTTTTCAACTATCTCCCTTCTCAGACAGGTTTTTTCCAACCCTTAAAAGAGGTGATAGGGTTATTATTTTTTTTTTCAGGTTATTTTTCTTTCCAGATAAAAGGGAAATTAAAGTAATCCCCTCTCCACTGGTTTAGTGACTGTACAAGCAGCTCACATGAAGTATTTTCTTTACTTCATTGTTTAACTTCCACTACAGTGTGCTTATAATTTTGCAGGAGTTAGGGATTCCCAAAAGAGGATTTCTGTCTATCCCTTTCCCCTGGAGCTTTAGGCACACAGAGGCAGGGTGGCAGGAGCACAGCCCTATACTGCATCACTGCCTCCAGGGCCTGCCCTAACCCTGCCGGTGAAGCACTCCCCCCAGCACACCACTGAACACCTCTGCTGCAGCAAATACGCTTTTGTGTCACTTACACTTTCTTTTATAGCTTACTTGGTAAATATAATCATTATGGGTTATTAATCACCTGACATGGCTTCCATTATTGCTTGGGAGGGAAAGACCCATAAAGGGCAATTACATGATCAGGCTACATTTAGCGGTAGTTTGATTTACCTGACTATTCAGTAATGGTCCATGTCGCTGAGTAACCGAGCATGGGATTAGAATTGTGTGGATGGAAATGGGGGGTTTGGGCTTCTGCTGTCAAATTGAAGAATTATTTAAATAATAAAACCCTATCATCACTTAACTTTCCCTTTTCACATGTATAGCATGCACCTCATTCAAAGTTTGTTTCTTGGAAATAAGTCTCAGCAAGCCCCCACCTCCTCCGAACGTACTGCAGTCTCTCTTGTAGGCACTCTGGATCCAGCCGTTCTCCACCTCTAGCAGGGGTGTCTGCTCTGGGATAAGGGGAAAGAAGAGCGGGTTATTGTGGCTTTGAGAGAGAGCAAGCAACTGAAATAGGCATGGGAGAAGCATACTGGAAGGAAAAGGTGCAAGGGTAAAAGGCATTACCCTCCTTCATGTATACCTGCCCTGTTGCTGAATCATGATCTTTTTATACAAAACACAGATTTTACTCATGACAATATGGGATTTAAAAAAACAAACTGCAAAAAAAGCAGAAAATATATAGAAAAACACTATAGTAATGCTGTAGTGTTTTGGAAGTTTATCGATTCACAGTATATTTATTATGCTGCAGTTCACAGTGTGAGCATTGCCAAGCATTCAGAAGTCAGGCTCAGGATTCTGTTGGCTGCAACTAAAATATATTCTTTGCCACATCATTTGATGTAGATACTTATTTGTGCAGTTCTGATGTGCACTCTCATCTGATGTGGTTGTGATGGAGTTAAGCACCGTTCCCTTTACGGCAGTGAGGAGGCTGCCCAAGGGGAGCCCCTGCATGCTCCCAGGAGAGGAGGTGCTAGCCAGAACGTGGCTTTTCATGTACAGTTGCTTTAAGCAGGCTCAGTGGCTGCCAAGAGTTTTGCAGCTGGAGCATCAGCCACACTGAGCCCACGAGGAAAACAAAACCCAGCAGATTTCCAAAATACTAACAGCTGGATGCAGATGACATTTCTTGATCCATGAAAAATAAGGAAGCCCAGCCCAAACCAGCCGCTCTCACAGTGCTCTCTGTCCCCCTTCTGATGCTACCCCAGTGCAGCGGCAGGACCAGGCTAGTACATCGCACAAGAAGAAATGCAACTAGGGGAGGTTTTTGGGGCACCTATCACAAATGATGAGAGGGGCAAGAGTGTCTACTGGAGACAATCACTGTCTTGAACTGTACAGATTGCCTCTTTGTGGCCAACTGCAGCCATCTGTATTCCGATCATCCTTCAGATCTCCACCAGGGTCACAGTGACCAAATTCTCTCTGGAGACTCTGCTAGCTGTTGCTATTAACAGTGGTGAATTCCAGCCCAAATATAAACTGTGCTGTTATTTTTAGGGTTGATTTCAGTCATGTCGAGGGGACCCACTGAGAGGAAAGCCCTGTTTTGTGATCTGTGGCATAGCCAGGTTAGGCCGTGTTCCCCATTCACTTTCTGTGTTGACGGGCCCCTCAGGGATCTTGTCTGCTGGCTTGGCCATGAGGCATAACTGATCTCTGCTTGATGGGACTCTTCCAATGTTAATGGTTGCTCCCAGCTCACATTGGGAAGGTTTTCAGTTCCATGATGCTCCTTCAGCCCTCTCCTAGCACTCACTGCAGCATAAGCCTGCTCTGAAGTCACTATGGCTTAGCCACCTGCTTCAACTCAAGCGCATTTTTACCTTCTTAGCAGAAAAAGGAAAGCTTCTGGGGTGGTTTATTCTTTCCCACCAATAAATTACTTTCATTTTTAGGTGTCATTTTCATAGTACCTAGAGTATTCCTTCCCCTTTACCAGACACCAGCCTGTTTTGGTGCTCCTGGGCTCTGCAATGGTGTGGCCAGCAGGTAATTCCAGTGTGGTGTGAAGTGTGGCAGATGCATTTTTTGCCAGGCAGTTCTGCAGTGCTAGCTGGGACAGGCTCTAGAGCACATGCTACAGCCCACAGCAAGTTCTCTAAGCCTCATGAGTTATGGGGGAGCACAGGTTAGGATGGACAGCTGTCCTGTTGCTTCAGCTGGGTTTCTCCTCACCATGGCTGTCACCACTGTCCTTCACCTACACATTGAGCAAAGCATAGCAGCTGGTGGTAGTCAGCCATCAGAGCTGTTCCCTAGAGAAGAGATTACAGCAGTGCTGTGCAGCATTGCTCCATGATGGTGGTGATCGTGAAGTCACATGGTGCTGCATAAACACACTGTGAGCCTTCCTTGTGATGATGCTGCAAAGAGTGTGTGAGGAGTCAGCATTACATCCCCTCCCATGAATCAGCCTTTACTACTGCAAAAATTGCCTCATCTGTACTCAGCATCCTAAAGGACAACCCTCAGTTCCTGTCATAGGACATCCTCTGTTGGTGTTCCCAAGCACTTGTACCATCTCATCTGTTAGGAAACGTTGGGTACAGCCTAGGCCAGATTCTGAGAGGTGATGCGTGCTTGTCTCTTTGTGTATTTGATTTTTTACAAAATGGATAGATGTATAATTCACAGTGGTTTAGTTGAGAGTTATCTACCAAAATCTGCCCTTGTGGAAGATGTCTGGTGGCTTTATACGGTTTCATTATGCTGTGTGTGTGTTAGCTGGGGCATTTCATTGCTGTTGGCAATCACTCTCCTTCCAGGACCACTCAGAAAGAGTTATGGTGATCTTGGCCTTTAGCTTCGCTACTACTGTGTCTCCCAGCTGTCTGTGGCTACTTCCCCAACTTTAGGACAAAACAGTATTCTCATTCAGTCTGTGTTCAGAGCGGATGGCCTGCCAATTGCTTCCGAATGTGTTCTGTAGTCAGATGAGATCATATCAAACATAAGCAAGTTTTATCTTTATTTTAGGCAAGAGGGTGTTTTATCATGATGCGGTTCCAAACCCTTCATTGTTTGGTTGGAATTCACCCAGGAAGTGTAGCAATGGATGGTTAAATGCAAACTAATAGGTTCAATATGAGCTACAAATGCAGAGCCTGTAAGCTGGCTGTGCAAACTTGTGTAGGAGAAGGAACATTGCCATACAGCTGACGAGAACTTGGGAGTGATTAGGATGGTCTTTCCAGGTACTTACAGTGTCTTGCAGCATGCCCTTGAGACAGTGCAAGAAGCATAATATTTCACGTCCTGCTTGAGTTGCATGGGGATGCACACAGCTCTCAGACCTCACAGTTGGAAAATTTGGGATGGCTCATCATTAAATCCTGGGAAGGATTCCTTGGGGCAGTCTCTTTGGGTGGTTGTTCCTATGTCTTGATCTGGAATTGGGATGTGAGGTCTGGAAATAATTGAGGGCTAATTTTTGAACAAATGTAGGTTATTGCTGTTGTGGTGAGGTTGGGAATTGCCCAACTTCAATAGCGCCAGCTGCACTTCAGCTAAAGATAGTCACCTCGGCAGCTATTGGACATCAAGGAGCTCAGTTCTATTTCTCGTAATTAAATCCTTTTATTTCTTTCTTTTTCTTTTCCTTTTCTTTTATCTTCTTTTTGAGAAAAATAGTTTTCTTGTTTGTGCCATTGAGTCAAATTGGAAGTTTGAAGTCTTTGGATGATGCATATACCTTTTTCTTATTCTCTCAAGCTATTTACTGACAGACGTTCCTGGCCTTTTTGAGGTGAGATGCAAAGTCCGTTACAATATCTGCTCCCATAGTCTTTTGCACTCCTTTTTCTAGTTATAGGTGTCTCTTATAATTAGTTTGCTCTCTCCGTTCATAATGGTCTCTGATTGGTACATATACTCCATAGTATTATGTATTACTTTCATTACTACATTATTTTCTGTTAGAAAGCCTGCATAAATGAGAACTCTGTTGTGGCAGATGCTGTATTGACTCCAAAGGGAAAAAAAAAGCAGTTCCTGCCTCAGAGGACTGGCAGTCAAAGTGCAAAATAAAAGTTAACAGATGGATGTGGGCAGACAGAGTATCCTGTATGTGGCACCTCCTTGACATTGTTATATGTGAATTATAACACTCTGTCAATAACCACTTAAATATTTAATGGTCTGGATTCTTTCCAGCTAAACTGGGACTTATAACTGTAGCCCCAAAGTTAGGGCTTGGCTGTCCTGGACTCCCATTGCCAAGACCCGCAGACCTCTCTAGTGGTGCCCGTTGCTTCCCGTTGCCTGCAGAGGCAACCAGGGCTCCTAAAACAGTGCTCACCGTTCAGTGCCTAGCAGAAAGGGGGATGAATCTTACCCCAGACATTCATTTGCTGAAGGGTGTGGAGTCATGATAGAAAAATAATCTGTGTACAAAAGTGATTTCATGTGTTTTTCACTAGGAACAGTGTGCCTACTGCCCATAGTCCTCTTTAAAATAAAGCACATAAGAAACATATGCCTTCTTCGCGCTCATCGTTCCAAAGTTGTTTGTGAAAGCAGAGTAATTGCAAGCAGAAGGTTATTTGCATGC